CTCCCCAACACTTAAACATATATGGTCGTATGACATAATAGTGAAGAGGTGGGAAAATTATTTTGTCCAATCATAACTCTCCATTTGCCAAGCTTAGGAGTTTAAGTGGTGCTAAGACAAGCTTAGTCATCACTTAATGAGCTTAGTCACACTTAGGTGCTTAATATTAAGACACCTCAAGCTTAAGTGACATGATAATTTCCACATGAATATTTCTCAAATTGCACATGGCAATTTAAAAGAATTTGGCATGAAAATCCTTTAATTAAGCCTAAGTAATTGACGAGTAATTGATGAAATTTTCCCAAATAATTGCTCACGGCAATTAGGGATAATTTGAACATGATTTAGACATTAGTGACTTAAGCATGATCATGATATTAATTAAACACAATTAACATGCTTAATTATTGATTAATGCTTGATCATTAGACTAAGTTTGGTACTTAAATACCAAAATTAATCCGAACATAACATGACATCGAAAATCATTTCGAAGAATCTTGACCGGAATAATTAGTTCCGAACATAAATGTGATCTTCGAAAATTAATTCAAATAACGTATCGACTAATAGTCGAACTTGGAATATAACTAGCTGATTAACTTGAACTTGAACATGATTATTTATTAACAAAGGCTAGCTTAAAACTAAAAGCTAGTATTTTCCTTTATTAATAAAACTCGGGGTGTTACATCTTGTGTTAAATTTGAGCTCATAGGATCAAGAATCAGGTCAATTGACCTAGTATAACTTGAGATATTTTTTAAATGTTATCATGCAAATTGAACTTTATATGGATTAATCTCGATTTTAATTTATCTGTTATGCCTCTATTTTCCCCTTTTAGAACTTGTTTTCTGAACATGTGCTCTTCACATGAATTTTAGCTTATCTTGTTAGCTTTCAGTGGGCTTTGGAATTTTGAAAATTTGATTTAAATTGAGTGAGTTATGATTTTTACAAAAAGAGTGTGCAAGCAGTTTTTCTGTGAACCCGGCAGCTTGTTCTATATTAAATGTTTGTACTGTGTTCGATGTCTGAGTGTGCTCAAATGTGAAAGTGGTTTTCATGAAATATGTAGCCTTATGTGTTAGCTTCCTGTTAGTTTTTGAATCAAGTCAAAAGCATGTCTGTAGCATGAGATATTCCCGTTTTACTGAGGCTCTGTAGGATGTATAATTTTGTTCTCGGACTGCAACTATGTTTCAAATGTATGATGAATAATCTTTGATCAAATGCCATTGTTTGCCATTCATATCTAAAGTTGTAGCCTTACTTCTTAGCTGTCTGTTGGTCTTTGAATCATGTCATTTGGAGGGTTGTAGCATGCGTTATGTGACAATTACTGAAGTTTGGTATGTTTAAAAATTTGATTTCCTGACTAGAACTCAGTTATGAATGTTTGCTGAATTATCTCCTGGTAAATGACCTTATTTGTTTTTCATGTCTTCATAAGAATTGTAGATGCATGTCTTAGGGTTCCAATGCAACTGGAATCATGATTATATGACATGTGTGCTGCAAGTTATGTTGATTTTAAAATCGCTGCGCGGGTTAGGTTTTGAAAACTCATATTGTATGTTCGGAAAAGGAGTTTACTTTTAAAATACGTGCTTATATGACCTATATGTGCTGATTTGGATCAAGTAAATGTTGCTATATGTGTGTTTATGTGTCGAATAGTTATTTATAGGATTATCTTGTTAAATGCAGGTGCTTGAGGAGTCGAGTCTCGACCTATATTCCACTACTTGATGTGTTCAACCATTTTGTT